AATATGAGAGTGATGTGTCTGGGTGTGAGGCACTAGTCTCACTGTTAAGTAACAGGATAGGCCACATGATGCAGACAGCAGACAAGATTCACTAACACTGAGAGGTGCATACCCATACTTTGCCAGGTCAAGACAATTGTTTGCATGCCAGAAGGGATTTCAGCATAAGGGTGGAGAGGATTTCATTGTGCTCACCGAATGAGGTGGGATAGACTGATAAGAGACATTCAATTAGTGTTATTTCTGGTGGACCTCATCACTCAGACTCTCTTCTGAGGGTGTAGTCTGCCCCTTTGACTCTTTCACATTCCCCTGTTTCCAAGGGGGATTATAAAAGAACAGGACTGAGCTCCCACTGGAGGGAACAAACCCTGCCATTCTCAGGGACTCTGATATTGTCCCTTCTCTGAGATGAGGAACAGAACAGCTGCACATGAATTTGAACCCTATTCTGAAGCTGAAGATTTAAACAGTCATAAACTCAACATAAGGTAAAAAACGTATTGGTGCTTTTAGCACAACATGAACATATTGTAGTGATTCTCCTGCAGAGTACTTTTCTTAACCATTATGTGAATAGCTGGCTCAAACAAGGAAAAAATCATTAAAGCTACATATGCACATCAAATGGGCAGATCCAGTTCAAACTCCTCCACTGAGAAGCAGATTAAGGCATCCATTATAGGCCAAGGTCTCAAATAAATGTTTTGGGTAAAACCAGATCTGTTTTGAAAATGACAGATGGTGAATTCTTGCAGCATAAAGGCAAATGGGGAAGAGAGAGAGGGAGAGAGGAAGGAGGTGAAGCTGCTGTTCATTAATCTGTTGCATGTAAGAAGTTGTCTTAACATGAAGTAATTGGAAAAAATTTTGTGTCTATGTTCCAGTCTTGCCAGTACAATGCAATAAATTTGAAGTGAGGAAACTCCCATGATATAAGGATAAAAGATGCCAGATTTTAACCAAGTGTAGCTGACATTAAACCCCACAGATATCAGACAAAAAAAACAAAGAAACCAAACCAAACCAAAAAGCTATGGGAAATTATAAGGAAGTAAAATTCTCATAACTGCAGTTGTTAACATTTGTTGAGAAAAGAGAAACACTGCAATAATTTTTGCGTCACCTGGATATTTTGTAACTTCCAATGACGAATGAAACAAGAATCCAGTCCTGAAAATCCCACATTCTTCACCCCTTATTGTCTGAAGAGAGCCAAAGCAGATCCTAAACCTGAAAGAGATGCTCTGAAGAAAGTAAACTTCATTTTCACACCCTTTTTAGGAATATAGCTAATTAAATTGTGCCTTCTTTTAAATTGTGTTAATCAAGAAGTTGAGGCTCCTCTCATTTAAATTTTAGTTTTAAAGTAATTAGATACTGCGTCTGATCCTGCTACCTTTATTTACTCAAGATTAGTTGCATAGTTGAGTCTCGAATCAAAATTAAGTGCACTCCAGGGAAATTTGCCTGAAAACTGCAGGTGGGTTTCCATCTTACATTGAATCTCTTCAATCTCACTGGGAAGTTCAAAAAAATAAACCATTTTCATTCTTTTTGGTTAAATTACATAATTAAGTACTCCAGGGGTATTGTCAACTTTCTAAATTGGAAAAATAAAAAGAAAAAATAATAAATTATTTAGGATAAATACCTCTGGTTTCCTAGAGTGTTTGGTAAAAACTCTTGCAAACACTTCTCTCTTCAGCTGAGGTGTTAAAAATCTGTGTGGAAGCTTTATTTTGACGAAGATATAGTTTGAAAATTGCTCTCGCATATCCATTCAAGCTCAAAGTTCTGTCTTGAAAGATAGACTGGATTTTGAAGCTTTTAACTGTCAAGGAATTTAGGTGCTGGGTATAGAAAAAAACTGAATTTCATGAACTCATTTGTTGAAATCTTGCAGCTAGATAAGCTATTGCAGTAGGCCCACAGTATAGCAATGTCTTGCAGCTGGGTTTTGCTTGCTGCATTTTGCCTTGCATTTTTATGTGCCAAGTTTTTATTTGTTTTTGCAGGTACTCTTGGATTTCAGCACAGGATTTCATGTAGAGGTAATATATATATTTATTTAGAACAGTTTTTCTGATTAAACAAAATGTAACAAATGAAAAATCATGTGTAAAATACTCAACTAAGACACTTCTTAACCCAAAGATTTAAAATATATTTAAATATTAACCAGCTGCAGGTAATAACTAACCCTCTCAAGAGAAATTCACCTAAATATAAATGAGTATTTTATACAAATGAGTAATTTTAAAATAAACATGTACAGTCATAGAGTTTGGGACTCATAGACATGTAAAAAACCACATGGTAAAAAAGTACGTGGTCTACAAAAATCTCTTTTCTTCTTATTGTTGGACATTATAATTGTCTTATTTATTTAATATGGGCTGAGGTCACATAATACTGGAACTCTCTGTCAAAGGTAAAAGAATGGGATGAAAATGGAATGGCAAGATGGAAAACCTTTAGAAGACAAAAACGTGAATGGATCAAATTTGCTGCAGCTTGTAGAGAAGGAGAAGATAATTCCAAGAGGAATCCAATTGCCAGAGTAAGTAGAAAGAAAAACACAAGTATTCACTTGTGTGAATACTTGTGTGAAGGAAGTTTTGCCAGAGACAGGCTGATAAAAGCAGAGACATTTAACAATTTGTATGCTTAGCGTTGTAAAAGAAAGGAATGTGGAATAAAAGAAAGATGATGCAACATTCCCAGCTCTGCTGAGGCAGTCTCATAAGGTGAATCCATGTGGCTGCTAAGGAGTAACCAGAGCCTTCCTAGAACTTTGCTATGAGTCTACTTTCCAGGCAGCTCCAACCAGTGACATTTTTTTTCTCTCTCTCATCCTGAGAAACCCCTGAGCAGAAATTCAAAGATTGTACATGGCCTGCGGGAAACAGAGAAAAATAAATACCTTCCTGTTCTCTTACTGTAACCATACCCTTACTGAGTTCCTGGCTCAGTGTGATACCCTTGGAGGTTTCTCTCTCCACTTCCCTGACAGATTTAAGAGAAATAGAAGGCCTTAAGGGGAGATGGATGTCTAGGTTGATGTTTTGTAAAAGAGTCTTCCATTGATTCTGTCAACTGAACCTTGTAATAAGCGGTTGAGAAACTGAAGTTATACAGAATTTTTTACAGGAACTAAGAATAGGAGGAAAAATCCTGTAGGTATCTTCTGTAAACTGGCATAATTTATTATTATATTTTACTGTAGATCCGATCTGACTGTGAAGAAGACAATCCAATCACATACAGCATCTCTGGAGTTGGAATTGACCGTGCACCCTATGGAATATTTGTTGTTAACCCAAGAACAGGAGAAATTAATATCACATCAGTAGTGGATAGGGAAATAACACCAGTATTTGTTGTAAGTACTCCCCTTTTTCTTGACCTTTATAATGATGGATCCAGGGTGGGGCAGACAACAAATTCATTTGCTTCAGATTGCTACTTTGCTTACTTAACTTTTGGTATTAAAACGAGTAAATCTCTTTATTTAGATACGTTGCTTTGCTAAACACTCAGTGACTGGTATAGATTTGGAACCACCTCTTGAACTTCGAGTCAGAGTCCTGGATATAAATGATAACCCTCCTGTATTTGCACAAACTGTGTTTACGGGATCTGTTGAGGAGAGCAGCATGGACAGTGAGTACCTCTGCTATGCCTTTTACAGCACTGCTAGTGAAGCTCACAGAATGCAATTAATATAAACCTGGGATGCTCTTTCTGCTTTTCTTAGGCAATGACATAAAATGGTCAGGGCCACTGCAGAGGAGGGAGAAGCAGATGCTTCTCCAAGTGCTATTTGAGCCAGGGCCTGGGCTAATTGCTATAAATTAAACAGCAATGCTTCCATCTCGCTTTCCTCCCACACTTGAGTGCTGAATGTTCCAGTTTCTAGCCATACCATCATGCAAATACTTTCAGATGTGAAAATGTAAAATAAATAATTGCAATCCTTCTCATTAGAATAAAAATATCATTACACTTATTTCCTTGGAGCGTATGTAAAATACATTTTTCCTCATTTTTTTCTTTCAAATATTTATACTTGTAGCCTGTGTATTTGCAATTGCAGCAGAATATTACTAATTCCATATTTAAACCATTAAAATGGTTCTTTGTACCAAAAGTGCAGCAGTCAACATTAGACATGCAAATAGCACTGAGGCAATGGTGCCTAACACTCATTTTCTTCTTTCTAAAAATTCTCATTTAAAGTTGTGATTTCTTATAGTAATTTCTATAAGCTCAGTACTTGCTGTATTTGCATATTCCCTATGGTGATGTAAAGAAGCTCAGTGAAAGTCTGCATTATTCTTTCTGACTTTGATTTTTAATTAATTTGAAGTCATTAACATTGTCAGAATCAGTACTACAAAACTAAAGTTGTTTTTTTTCTCTGTAAATGTCAAGGAATAGATAGCCTTCTATCATTTTCATACACAGTTTTAGCATTGTCTTGATGAGTTGTTTGCAGGAACTCAAGAGATTTTCTGGGGGGGTTTTGGCTTGGTTTTATTTGTTTGCTTTGTGGGTTTTTTTTTAGTTACTATTATTTTTAATTTTATTTTTAGACACGCTGGTGATGAAAATCATTGCAACAGATGCAGATGAACCTAACCACTTGAATTCTAAAATTGCCTTCAAAATAGAGAGTCAGGAACCTTCTGGTCCACCCATGTTCATTATGAATAAATACACAGGAGAACTCCATCTTGCAAATTATCTTGACAGAGAGGTAACATTTCCCCTTCCAAAGCTAAATAAGATTATGCTGTAGTGTATATGTGCTATGAGAGTGAGAAAAATATAGAAGAGAGAGAAAAGTTGTGGGTTTTACAAATAATACGGGAGAATTGCATGGTTTTGATGTGTCACAATAAAATGCCTTAGCCAAATTCCTGCATTAGGAAATAGCAGCAAGCATGAGTTATTTATAAGATGCACAGATGGTCTTCTAACATACTCACTTCTCTTTTTGTGACAGCAACATAGTAGCTACACTCTGGTTGTGAAGGCATCAGACCGGGATGGGGCTGCAGATGGAATATCATCCCTTTGTAGCTGTAACGTGAAAGTTATCGATGTTAATGACAACTTTCCAACTCTTGCCCAAAGCTCTGTAAGTTTGCAGTAATAAAAGCAGCAACACTGATTTAATACCCCATTTAAAAGCTCTGTCAGTAACAGAGTCCTTACTAACCTGTAGAGAACATTCACATTAACATGCTCCATGGGATTTACAGGGTTCTTCCCTTGAAGAGTGTTCAAAATACAATCTGTCACTTGTGCAAAAATTCTGGTAACACACACATAGATAATTTTTGTATTCAGAGAGGTAAATCCTGACACTGTCATAACTGACTTCTTTGTATTCAGCGTAATCCTGTTATACAGGTGCCCAGATCCCTGCAATGTGAGATTATGTAAAATAACCCAATCCTTGGAAGACCATTTCTTACAGAAAGCACAAATCCTTTTCCCCTTAAGATGCATCTGCAAACCTTGGAGGTGATACAGCTTTTCAAATCTGTAATCATAATCACAGTTTTCCCAGAACATGTTTTGGGTTTTTTTTATAAATTGGCATGGACTGTGCTCAGAGCATCCTTCAAAACAACCTCTGCACACAACTGTGTTTTCCTCGCATATATATATATATATATATATATATATATATATATATATATATATATAAATGTTTGCTAATAGGTACTTATCTGTCATTTCAGTTTTCAACAAGTATTTCAGAAAATTCACTCAGTTCAGAACTGCTACGAATACAAGCTCTGGATGCTGATGAAGAGTTTACAGACAACTGGTTAGCAGAGTTTTTCTTTATATCCGGTAATGAAGATAACTGTTTTGAAATCGTTACAGATCGAGCTACAAATCAAGGAATCCTTAGAGTAATTAAGGTACGGATAAGTATTGTGATTCAGCTCTTGACTTAAAATTTTAATTAATTGTTCATAGAATTAAACAGGCAGTAAAAACACTGTCACAAAGCCATCTAAAATGAAAATATTTTTAAATATTAAAGAAGCTTTTATGTATTATCTAGTTCTTTGTGGTTTACCTTTTAGGAACTGGATTTTGAACATATGCGAACTCACTCACTGATGATTGGCGTCAGGAATGTAGCTGCATTCCATCACTCTGTTGCACATGAGTACCAAATATTTGGGACACCTCTCACAGTAGAAGTAAAAAATTTGATTGAACCACCAAGATTTCATCCATCTTCAATTGTGTTTTCACTGGCAGAAGGTGCAAGAGTGAATTATGTTCTAGGAACATACACAGCCATGGATGAGGACACTAGAACTATTGCATCAAATGTTGTGTAAGCTCTGCTCTGCTTAACTTCCTGGATGGAATAATTCTTTTGAGATTTTAATGGGATGAGGAATAGGTATTTTAAAGGACTCTTTAAAAAACTATGATTATTGATCAGCAATTGAAAAATGGCAAAAGAATAGCACTATATAGTATCATATAATATTATATATTATATAGTACTATATTTCACGTTATTGCAGAATAGTATATAGCCCATTTTTGTGCTATAATTGCTTTTCTTTCCTGACTACTTTCCTTTGCCTTATGCGCAAGACAAGGAAAATATCACTTTTCTAACAGGCTGTACCTTAAATAGACTAGAATAGGGTTTGGTTTTTTTTATTTAGGCTAATAATGTTTTTTCTTGAAACATTTGCTACAAGGAGGGAATTTGTTAGCATCACAAGAAAAGCAGGTAGAAAATCCCAATAACAGTCAATATTATCCAATCAGAATAGGAGAGGTCCCTACTAGCTCATTCTCTAGTGAAAAAAAAAATTTCATTTGCTTCTTGAAATTCAAAATAATAACTGAGACTGTAATTTGCTTTTCAGTGCATGTAGAAAAAATACAGCCTATTTACACATATTTGGAAAAAAATTTCCTAAAACAGAAATGTGTCAGCAAATACGACTGTAGAATGTTATAGGAAGAGCTGTGGATTTAATCATTGATATCAACAAGGCTTCTAGTCTGCAGGATCCAGAAAAGATTTACTTTTAGACTGTCATGACACTTTCAAAGTAAAATGCTTTTGCTTTATTCCTAATTAATTTTCTGGTCTACATCTTTTGGAATCTACATGGATTTTGCTTGAACTGGGTGAAATTCAATAGAAAATAGCATAGCTGAAAGAAAAATGCTCCAGAGTGCCAAATTTTATCCACAAAATAAATATGTAATACATATATTCATTACCTAACGCTGAATATTTTTACTTCACCAAACACAGATATAGTATAGGGCGTGATCCAGCTGCCTGGTTCAGAATCAATCAAAACACTGGTGAAATCACACTGAACAAAGTCATTAATCGGGATTCCGTCTACATAGTCAATGGGCAGTACCAAGCAGAGGTTCTGGCTATCACCAGAGGTAAGAAAACATATGAAGTTTTCTGAAATAAACTCTTTGTGTTCCAGCTTTCTCTAAATGTTTTCTGCTGTTTCTAGTTTTCCAACCCTACCTGCATTGTTTATAGTATCACTATTCCCTCCTGACCACAAATACCTTCCTGTTACAGGGACTCCTCGATATACTGCTACTGGCACCGTTGTGCTTTCAATAGATGGCATCAATGCCAATTGCCCAACTATTAATACTGAAATGAGGAAAGTATGTATGAATTCCCCATCAGTGATTATCTCAGCAAAACATAGGAATGGTGACCTCTATGCTACCCCCTTCACATTCAGCATACATGGTGAACCTCAGACTACATGGATTATCAGACGAATAAATGGTAAATTAACCTACATTTTGTAACAAAATAAATTATAGTAATAAGCTCTTATCTAAAATAACCGATTTGGATGTTACTTTATTAACAAACAAAACACTTACTAGAATCTATTAAAATCTCAGTTAAATATGAATCTAAGAGGCTACTCCAAATTTGAATATATGCATGTACATATATATATTAGAATATTTAAATCAGAATTATTACATGTGTTATATTTTAAAGGCAACTGAAAATTTACTAACAAAACTGTACTTTGAGTATAACTATGACAAGAGTCTTTATGGGTTAAAACATAATGAAGTAAATCAAAATAAATAATTTGACACTTTTTTCTTTCTGTGTTATCTAAAAAATCCTAAGAATGTAAAAAAATCTCAATTTTTTTTTATTAGAGTACAAAGTTTATAGTTAGCAGAGCTTTACTTTTATGAGAGGCATATGAAAATGGCAAATTAAGATTACAACATTTTAAATTTATTGTACCAGTCACACCTACTTGTATTTTAAAGAAAATTGTTTTAGTCAGTTCCCAGTGAAGCTTTGCCAGTTCCCTTCAATAAGACATGAGAAAATAATTAATTAATCAAATCCTATGCATTACTAAATAACAAAATTTGCATAGTTTACTGTTTACATAGAAGACTACATTAAATGGCAAGTATCATAATTTAAAGTATTCTTGAGTCTCCTACCTGTCCTGAACAGTTGCAAATATGTAATCTTAAATATTTTAAACCTACTGAAAAACTTTTTGAAAAACATGTATGTGTTCCTTGAGAGAGGAATAGAAAATGTGTAAATCTTTCAACTTTTATATTTACCATTGTGCAAATAAAATTCAGGAAAAGCAGCAGTGGAAATAAAAGATTTCATTTTCCCCTTTTGTGTTTCTCAAGTTTAGAAGTGATAACTAGACTGATTTGGCTCAGGTTTTGCAAGAAAAAAAACAAGCATAGATGTTTATTTTATGTTTCAGCTTTGAGTAAATACTGTAGATGCATAAGTAATTGAGGTGCTCAGAAAGGGAACAAATTTTTTCATTCTGTTCTATGAATGTAATATACTAGTATAGACTTGTAGAGCACTTACAGTCAATACCTTCATTTTTCTTTTTTTTTCTTCCCTCCAAGATTCCTCTGCAGAACTAGTGGGCCAGAACATAGACTTTTACCTTTATAGGATCTATGTTGTTGTAAGAGATAGCCAAGGCCGGCGCTGTGCTCAACCACACATAATTCCTGTGCAAGCTTGCCAGTGTGATAGTCGGAACTACTGCACCAGTGGGGCCACAAGAATAATTATCATCGGTGGTGGTGGTGGCTCTGGTGGTGGCACTGGTGGCGGCACTGGTGGCGGCACTGGTGGCGGCACTATTGGTGGTGGTGGTGGTGGCACTGGTGGAGGAGGCCGGGAAGACGGAGGACAACAAGGTGGTGGTGATTCTGGCCAGACTAGACCTGGAGGAGAAGATTTTGAGGACCACACAGACTGGCAGGGTTATACTGATAGTTATGATGAAGGTGAGGATGGATATTCTGCCTCCACTGATGGCGGTTACGCTGGAAATGATAATATTGGCAGACAGCTGGATTCAAATACCACACTTAGTGGTGCTGCCATTGGCCTGATGTTCCTCGGTGGATTAATATTTGTTTGTAAGTATGAAATTAAGAAACAATTTTTATCAATTTTCTTAATAATGTAAATAGCACATTTTTAAATTCTTCTAAAATAAGGTTACGTTTTCAGTTGGTCGTTAATCCGTTGGCTTCTATTGACCATTTGAAAGAGAAAAAAATTGTCTTTTAAATGAAAAATTTCCATAGATTTTATGTTATACATACATTTTTCATTCAAAATTAAGCATTTCCTTTCTAAGACTTGTTATCCCATTCTTAGACAGAGCTGTCCTGTCACTTACATTTTGCAGCTTGTACTTCCATTACATTACTAGAAGAAATGGGCAAATATTAGCTCCAAGTTGGGTATGACAGAATCTAAGGAACAAGATTCCTTTTAACTCAAAGCCAGATTTCAGTAGCAGAACAATCAGTCATAGATTTTGAAATGTTTGGCTACTCCTTTCATACATTACATCTAATAAAAAACCAGTAGCATTTATGATAACAGGATCAAAATAAGACCTTCATTAATTTGTCCTAGTATTCTCAAAGAATTATGAGCTTCACTAACTCAAGTTAGAATTTATACAAGCAATTATTTCTCAGACTACCAAAATCATATGTGATCAATTTTC